CATACCCTGCCCACAGGCGAGCCCGAGTTCAGGTACACAGCGGGGCTGCACGGGAACGAGGTGCTGGGCCGGGAGCTGCTGCTCCTGCTGATGCAGTTCCTGTGCAAGGAGTACCAGGACGGCAACCCCCGGGTGCGGAGCCTGGTGACCGAAACCCGCATCCACCTTGTGCCCTCCCTCAACCCCGACGGCTACGAGCTGGCCCGCGAGGCGGTAAGGGGACAGCGGGGCAGGGGACGCTAGGGCAGGGCACGCTAGGGCAGGGCCAGGGGGATGCAGCGCCCGGGATCACCACTGCCCCGGGTCTGCCCGCAGGGCTCCGAGCTGGGTAACTGGGCGCTGGGCCACTGGACGGAGGAGGGCTACGACCTCTTTGAGAACTTCCCTGACTTGGCTTCAGCACTGTGGGCGGCTGAGGAGAGGAAACTGGTGCCCCACAAGTTCCCCAACCACCACATCCCCATCCCGGAGCACTATCTGGCTGAGGATGCCGCGGTGAGCCACGGCCCGGGGCACAGCAGTGGGGAGGCGAGGGGGAGGTGGTGCCTCACGCTGCTGTGCCCGCCTTGGCAGGTGGCGGTGGAGACGCAGGCCGTCATGGCGTGGATGGACAAGAACCCCTTTGTGCTGGGAGCCAACCTGCAGGGCGGGGAGAAACTGGTGTCTTACCCCTTCGACACGGCCCGGCCCGTCAGCGAGACGCCAGCAACCGCCCCTCGCCTGCCAGACGACTACGAGGATGACAACCCCGAGCTGCACGAGACGCCCGACCACGCCATTTTCCGCTGGCTCGCCATCTCCTACGCCTCGGCCCACCTCACCATGACCGAGACCTTCCGTGGGGGCTGCCACACACAGGACATGACCAACGCCATGGGCATTGTGCAGGGGGCCAAGTGGCACCCGCGGGCTGGCAGTAAGTGGGTGCCACACCGTATCGGTGTCGGCTTCCCTGCCCCACGCTCCCTCAGCGGGACAGCGCGAGCGAGCGGCTGGGTGGGTGCTCGGTTGTTTGTCTTGCAGGCATGAACGACTTCAGCTACCTGCACACCAACTGCCTGGAGCTCTCCATCTACCTGGGCTGTGACAAGTTCCCCCATGAGAGCGAGCTGCAGCAGGAGTGGGAGAACAACAAGGAGTCACTGCTCACCTTCATGGAGCAGGTTGGTGCTGGGACGCGCCAGGCAGGGAGCAGGCAGCTGCCCCCGCCCGCCCCACGCAGCTCCCTCTGCCCTTTGCTGGTGTAGGTCCATCGGGGCATCAAGGGCTTAGTGACAGACCAGCAGGGAGAACCCATTGCCAATGCTACCATCGTTGTGGGGGGCATCAACCACAACATCAAGACAGGTAGGGTGCAGGGGAGGGTGCTGGGCAGGGTTATGGCAGCACCCCGCCGCTTCCCTCACACCCCTCGCTGCCCGCAGCCAGCGGCGGGGACTACTGGCGCATCCTGAACCCGGGGGAGTACCGCGTCTCGGCTCGGGCCGAGGGCTACAACCCCAGCGTCAAAACCTGCAACGTCTTCTACGACATCGGGGCCACCCAGTGCAACTTTGTCCTGTCGCGTTCCAACTGGAAACGCATCCGGGAGATCATGGCCATGAACGGGAACCGGCCCATCCGCCGCATCGTGCCCGGCCGCCCCATGACGCCCCGCGAACGCATGCGCCTGCGGATGCGCCTCCGGCATCGCCTGCGCCTCCGGCAGCAGATAAGGCTGCGGCGTCTCAATGCCACCACGGCCGCCAGCGGCCCCACGGCCCTGCCGCCCACCACGGCCCTGCCCTCGCCCTTCAGCAGCACTGCCTACGCGCCCTGGAGCCAAGAGCCACCCACAGCCGGCACCTGGGAGATGGAAACCGAAACCGAGACGGAGGTGGTCACCGAGCTGGTGACGGAGACGGAGGCCTGGGAGCTGGGCACGGGGACAGCGCAGCCCTTCACCACGGCCGAGACCTACACCGTGAACTTTGGTGACTAGGAGATGCCCGTCCCCTCACTTCCACCTCAAGCCAAGGCCGGACGCTCGCAGCCGGTTTGGTTTCACCTGCCGCAGGCTCCGGCATCCACTTCTAAAAATCTTTCTTTGAGCCCCGGGCAGCCCGTTCCGGGTGGGCTCCAGCTCCTCACCCATGCTGCTTCCTAGGACTGCAGGGCACGCCACACCGATGCTCGCCCCGAAGGCTGGGCGCCCGCGGAGCATCCCCCTTGCCAGGCTCCAGAGCCAGGCAGGAAAGGATGTTCTGCCCCATCCCTCAGGGATGGGCAGTGCCAGTTCTTGCCTGGCAAGGGAGGGGGTGAAGCAGGACCCAGGCCTCACCCTGTCCCCATCTCCTGGCACAGCGGGGTGAGCAGGAGTGGTCCCGCTCTCCAGGGCAGGGCCCACACGGAGGCAGGCGCAGCCCCTGTCCCCTCTGCACAGTTTTTTGTTACACAAATAAATCGAGTTATATTGGTACAAGCATCTCTTCTTTCCCCTGCCCCCTGGCAGCTCCATGCCAGCCCTCCCACGAGGATGACCAGGAATTACACAAAGGTGGTGGGTGGGTGCCAAAACGCTCCGAGGGGCCAGGGGGGTTTATCAACTCTGCACCCTGCCTGCTCAGTCAGTGCCCGACCTCCATGTCCCCGTCATCGTCCTCGGCCCCGAAGCCAGAGAAGCTGATGGGCTGGCAGCTGAGGTCCCGCAGGTTGATGAGGCAGGCGGTCTGTGTGGCGCTGAAGGCCGGCACCGTCACCAGCAGGACCTGCTGCCCATCCTGCCCTGCAAAGACAGCTGGGAGTCAGGCGGGTTGAGCCCCCAGCCAGCACCCTGGTGTGGGATCCCAGCCCCAAGCAAGTATCGGTGGGTGCTGCAGGCTGGGGGCTCACCTTGGATCAGCTTGGACTGGAAGCGGGGAGCGTTGCCGCAGAAGTAGACGTGAGGGCAGTCGGTGAGGACGAATGGGTCTGATTTGTAAAAGGGGTAGCAGCCTGGGAGGGAATGAAATTAGGAGGGGAACCTACACCTACATCCCTTCAGAGGGCAAATGGTCCCCAGCCCTCAGTGGCCACCTAGCCCTCGCCTCACCCAGTGTGTCCGGGGCTGTGGGGCTGATGTGTCCCGCCAGCAGCGTCCACTCCAGGATCTCCAGGTAGTCGTCCATGCTGCTGTATTTAAAGATGTCACTGACATTTTGCCCTGACGTCCCCAAAAACCTGCAACATTTGGGGGGAAAGGAGGAGAGATTTGGATGGCTGTACTTGCCATGACTTGCCCCACACCCCCATGCCAACAGCTGTCGCAGAGCTGGTGGCACATGAGGTTTTTTTACCTGACGCCGTCCACGTCGGCCTGGTAGGGGTTGGTGACCAGGCGGAGCGTGGAGTAGGCACTGGCGAGGGGCAGCATGCAGTGATGCAGTGGCTGCTGGGGCAGCGTGTAGTTGGTGGGGTCAAACTCACCAGGCATCACATCCACAGGCACAGAGGTCTGTGGGCAGAGCAGGGATTAGTGGGGACAGCCACACCACCCCCCTTCAAAAGGGCTCAGAGCAAAGCCCCAGCCGGAGCTCGCGGCCGGCTCTGCCTTGCTCCCCGATTTGACTCTGCCACTGCCCCGCAGGAAGCCCCGCTTGGCTTCCCTGCAGAGACCAGATGCCGGGAGAAGGATCTGGAGCTGGGCAGTTGCCTGCTGCCTTCCCATACAGCACC